GATGGCGCTAAAATCACACTTCGTCTCATTATTTGTGCAAGAAATAAGGTATATTATAAGTTTAAAATAATCATGGACGAAGAGAGCGAGTTACTAAAATCAGGTGATGATGAGTTGATAAAATGTTATATGAAACAAATAAAAAAAAAAAAAAAAAAAAAAAAAAAAAAATTAAAAATATCTATTTTTATTTTATTATCTATGTGGTGCGTCTGAAAAGGCACCACTATAAGTTTTTTATTTTTTATTTTTCACACAAAAAACGAGATTTGGTATGATAATATATGGCATAAACAATTGTTTTCGGTCACTTTCTATTTCAGGAGAAAAAAACATAAAATAATTAACTACAAAGAAGTGTCAACTCTGTGTTAAATCGTGGAAACACGATACGCCACCGAAAGCCTTCGTTGTCGTCTGGAGAACTAATTTTCCAATTGACAGGTTGACCATAGGTTGACATGATGGCTTCATTTTTATTTCCGTTTCCGGTTATTAATTACTTAATTATATGCAATTTTAACGTAAATTAGTAAGGTATAAGAATGACAGTAATTTGTAAATAAATACACGTAATCACAGCCAGTGGCGGATACAGAGGGGGGATATCTCATTTTTTTCAAATAGAACGAGGGTGGCTCATTAGCATAAATGGGAAAAGCATTTTTTTACGAATAATTTGGTATCACACACTTGGTATTTCGAGTCAAATTGATATGAACCGCATGTTACAATTTCAATTACATAATTTGCGAAAATGTCAAAAGTTTATATATAGTTAAAAATTCTATCTAGATTGTCATTTTCTATCGAATAAGGTAAAAATATACTAAGGGTGCCGTTTAAAAATCAAAAGTTGTAGACATTTCCGGTGAAACAGGAAGTGACCGAAAACAATTAAATACGTCAATCAATCCTAATTTATGTCATATACTAATATAATAAATTTTGTTTTTTTTATCTGAAAAAAGAGACGCACCTTTTGACTTTTGAGACACCTCACTTTTGAGACGCACCCGATATTGTAAGCCTTGGTTAATGTGGTATGTTGGTAAGCCTATCAACTGATATTCCGATGTGACAGATTTTTTGTTTAGATGTTCTTTTTAATGCAATGTTAATATGAATCTATTTTAAATCATTTTTATTCAACTACTTTCACTGAATCTCAAGCCAGCCTCTGTTCCAACTGATTCTGAAAATACACCATTTAATTTATTTTTTAATTAATTAAATGAAATAGCACAAATCCGAATTTTCAATTCCACTAAACCATGACTTGCAATAGGACTGACATCTTTGATTTTTATATTTTATGTGGTTTGATATGGTCCTGAGATGGAAATAATCTTAACTAAAAAAAAATCAAATATGTAAAACCTGAAGATTTAGTTAATTTAATTTGAAAGCCACATTTTTCTTTTAGATGAGTATCGCTGTTTGGATATCAGTGGCCTCTTCTTTTCTCTTTTTTATATTAGGAGTATATTTTAATATTAAAATTAATAAAATACACAAAGCTAACAATGAAAGTTTAGAAATCCCAGAATTGTATGATATATATTTTCCTCAGCCAGAACTGCATTTGGTTAGTATCTTTTATACACAGAGATTTTACATTTTCTATAATTTTATTTTTCCAAAGAATAATTAAGATCTAATTTTGAATATTTCTGTTATTTCAGATGATATATTATATTACGAATTTTGTTTGTATAATATATGCTGTTGCGGCAATCAATGGTTCATTTGTTGTTGCAACCACACTAATGTATTATGCGGGAACAAAGTTAAGGCTGTACCAAATCGAGATTAAGCGGATAAATAAATCTATCGAAGCTACATACGATAAAGATGCTGTTCGTATGTTGAATGATTTTATCAGGAGACATCAAAATTTAATCGGGTATAGTTTTGATTGCAGTAATGGTTATACATATTTACGCACTAGTTAAACAACTGCCGGCGGTATTGTTAGTGTATACAAAAAAATACTGTCACCGGCGGCATTATACCGTATGATCGAAAAAAAGGCGTCCAGTTGCTTGGGAAATGACGGTCGACGATATTTCCCATATAAATGTACATATAAAATGACAGCGATCTTCATTTCATAGCCATCGCTGACGCCGTTTTTTTTTCGATCATACGGTACTTCTATATTACTACTTCCATACAGGTTGTTAATTTGTTTATTACAGGCGGCAATAGCTTTATGGTTGAAATATGGCAACCTCGGCCCGTTCGTCGAGAGACGACGCGCGACGCGACGGGACGAGTCGGCAGCTTAGCTTAGTACTCATTTGGAATGTAGGCAGTATTGCCATTCTGTTCCCCACTAAGTAACCGCCCAGTTAACAATCTGTATATTACTTCTACACAAAGATATTAAAACTCGGGAGATACAACGATCCATTTATAAAACGCTCTAAACCTTCATCACACATTGGTTTGCAAAAATCAACGAGTGTGAGAGAAAATGGACATAGAAGGGAATAGGGTATCGGCGCAACGGCAACAATGTAGAAGTTTACAAAGATTAGACGCACTTAGACGGTTGAGGTCAATTTCCAGTGGCGTGCCGATCGACCGACAGTATTTTAAGGAAATTAAAATAATTGTTTAATAAATTTAAAAAAATAATAATAACACTTACATATTTGTCGCATTGCAAAAAGTTGAGGGAGGATATTAATAGGAAAAAAATAAGTTGAGGGAGAATAGCGAAATAAATAAAAACCGGCATAACTTTTTATTATAAGATGGCTTTTCACATAAGAATAACGATTAAAAAAATCAATAAGCGTTTTTTACTTTATTTTATTAAATAATATATCAAACTTTGGGTGTATTAGTAAATGCAGTTTCAATATCTTGTTCCAAACCTTGTTCATCTCCGGTGAATGAGACTCCCTCTATTCTACAGTTTATAATCATCTGCTGATGATGCTAACATGGTTAGCGAAACGCGCGTCCAGTGTAAAAGTAAAAGTGTTTTGGTGTATTGTGGTGATTTAGTGTTTTATTTAACTTTTTTCCCCTCTATTAGCAAATAACAAAATAAAATAGTTATTTTAACCTAGTAACACAATATTTTACCAAAAACTAATATTTGTAGACTTCACATATTTTTGATAAAAACTTTATTATTATATCTATATTTATTATATACCTATATGAATTTTACAACTACTAAAATGTGTGTCTAAAGGGATCGCACCGCGATTCAAAAACCGATACAATGACACAAAGTACCAGAGTGGTGCGACCCCAAAAACAAAATAGAAATAAATTAAATTATAGAAATAAACAGAATTAAAAAAAATAAAATTAGATAAAAAAAGTGAAAATATAATTTTATCAGGGATGAGCGGAGATAAGCAGAGAGGCATAACGAAACAGTGTAACCGGAACAGCAACCAATGACGGGCATATCAGAAGAACAAGAACCTCACAAATCAGTCGAAGAAATTATAATTTTTTAAATGATTTATTGTTATGAATTTAGTAAATGATTTTTAATTTGTTTTTTATAATCTGTAAAGGATTGAAATTTAAAGTTATTAGAAATATTATTCCACAAATGTGGCGCTATGAAACTGACTATTCCAAAAATCTTTGGAATATAGCTGTTCGGTGTTGAGGAATTTTAAAATAATGCACTTGCCTAGTCGAATGATCATGGTCAACGTAGTGAAACAATGAGAACAAATAGGGAGTCTGCGCTGTAGTTAAAATTCGATAAATGAATGTCATTAAATGAAATTATTACAAATCTATACAACAAAATTATTTGATATTATAATACAGTCATCAAAAAAGTCTAGCGATAATTTTAGAAAATCACAAATAAAATAAAATGGCGATTGTTTAGTAAACGGTTCTTCCCTTAGTCTTAAAAAATATTTAGTTTTTTTTCTCTTGTTTACAAAGGAAAATTCATATTTTTTATAAATAATAAAAAGTGTATGTGCAAAGAATTTCAATACAATAAAATGTAAAAGTACAACAAAATGTAGTCGTCATAAAATTCATCTAATAAGTACATTAATTATATGTATGTCAAAAGATGTCCATTTACATTATAGCAACCAAAATTTAAAACAAAAGCCGTATTAAATTGTTACGGCAACAAAAAAGTAAGGCCGCAAAATTCCATTTTTGGTACACCCCAATAAAATTTTCAAAAAAGGTAGGTAATGATTTGTCAAACCCAAGTGGGTACCTAGATTATACTTATTCAATACCCTTTCTTAAAAGGGAAACAGAAATTGTTATTAAGTTATTATTAATTAGTACGTACCATGTACCTTTTTTCTACAAATAATTTAATTAATAAATATATAATTTAAAAAACATAATAAATTAATGAATATACAATTTAAAAAATAAACCTAAAAATAAATATAATTTAGAAATCTGCTATATTTTATGTCTAGGCCCGCCTCTGATCTACAGAGAAGAGGATATAATAATATACCTAACCATACTTATTTTTATTTACCGGTGAAAAGTTAAATTTGGATTTAAATGATAGACTCTCTTGTACACAATACATGAATGCACCATATTTTCAAATTAATGTCCACAAAATAACGCAAAAATACTATAACACTGCAAATAAAGAATACGGAGCTTGATCGGCAGCATAGCAACATCGCAACAGGAGAATCTAGGAATTTTCATTCGTCCTCGAAATCCGTTGTACTACGCCGGCATATTTCTAAAACTGACGTTGCCAAACTGCTTTTGATTATTAAAAGAAACACGATCCTGATATTTTTATTCCATTATAAAATTTAAAATAGTTAAGCAGTTAAGCATTAAATGAAAAAATTGACGTTAGCAAATTAATGTACTTGATATATTATAGAAATATAACGAAATTATTTATTACTTAATAATTGGTTGTGGTATTTAATCGAATACTAATACCAATATACAGGTAAATCTGGCAAATGTTTTCGTTGTAAGAGAGATGCGAAAATAAGGATAGAATAATGGCCGATGAAGGAAAAAGGTAAACAATTGTATCTCTTGAGTTTAAATATCTTTGCTTCTACATTATACTTCTTAAAAAAATGTGTGGCATTATTTTATATATTTAGCAAAAACTGCCGTATTTGAGACGTGTTTCGGAGGCATTTATATTAATAGATTTATAAAACCGTCCAACGATTCTCTTCCACTAGTTGTTTATGCCTCCGGTAGCCGCAGTCTGTTATATTTACCAAGGGTGGTATGATCTTATTAATAATAAGATCAAACTACTGTTTGATCGAAAAATAAACGGGGCCCACTTAGCTTTTGTTAGCTATACAGGGTGTCCCAGAAATAAGTGCAAGTATTTTAAGGGGTGGTAGATCTCGATAAAAAAATATATTTTCTCTGTATCGTTTTTGAAATAAGTCCAAAATAACGGAGTTATCTTACTTTGAAAATTTCCAAAAAAAAAATGATTTTTTGCTAAAATTTTGAGAACCACTGGATCTTTCCTTTCTTGTAAATTTAACCTAATACCTATGTTGCCATATTATCAAGAAATTCTGTTTTTAACTAAAAACTAAAAAAATCCAAAAAATTCAAAAAAAAAACTCATGGGCGTGTTTCTGGGGTTGAACTATACTACCAGTTAAAATACTTGCGCTTATTTCTGGGACACCCTGTATAATTTTACAAATAAAATGACAGCGATGTTCATTTCAACGTCATCATTGACGCCGTTTTTTTTGTCATATTGTATTATTTATTAGAAATAATAAAAAAATTCTAAGAATGTCTTTAGTATAACTCATATTAACCTGATATATTTTGATTTTTAGCTTTATAATTGATTTGAATAAATCAATAAAAAATATCTCTCTCTCGGAATTCAGTACAACTTCTATAAACTGTGCACTGATTGCAGCTGAAATAACCAAGGTAAAAAGTTGAATGATTTATCTATTATAGATAATAAACTAATATCTAATTGATACAAGAAGATATTTTAATGACAAACAAAATAAGGCAATGAGTGTGTAAAAATTTTCCAAATTATATTTTATTTTTTGTTATATTTGAATGATATATTTAAAATTAACAAATTATTTCTTATTATTACGTTTTTACTAGGTTCCGTGTGGATAATTTAAAATCCTATTTAATTTACAGATTTTATTTATCACTAAAGAACACATTAAGAAACTATACAGGGTGAGTCTTAAATAAGGGCATATATTTTCAGGGGTGGTATATTTCGATCCCAGGAACACGTCTATGAGGTTTTTTTTCGCAAAAAAGATGTTGAGCATCGTGCATTTTCTTTTAAATTTCCCAGTATATTTTTTGAAAACTTTTTAGAAGTGCCTGTTCACCGCAAATTTTCCCACGGTATAATTTCTTAATCTCTGATATTACCATAGTTACAGCTTGGTTACGGCACTAAAAGGGATGCACATACAGAAAAAAGGCGGTGGCTCTCAAAATTTTTCCAAAATAAAATGATTTTTTTTTAATTTTCAAACTTAAATAACTCGGTTATTTTGGACTTATTTGAAAAATGATAAAGAGAAAATATGTTTCTTTTATCGAGATATACCAGTCCTGAAAATATTTGCACTTATTTAAGACTCACCCTGTATAACAATTCAAAACTAATAATTATTATTATTTTTTCTTTATACCATGGTCGTTGCTACTTATAAGAGTGAAATAGACAGTCTAGAATTTCATTGAATTTCAGATGCGACGCTCTTAGAGCTGGGACCTTCCTTTGGTTAGAGCTGGGCTGGTTTTGTGGCATTATAACTGCTTTTTTGATTGACGATTAAAGATATACATTCGACTGAAAAAAAATAAACTACGTCACTCTGTAATACTTTAATGTTTGTTGTGTTTCAGGCCCAATCTATTCAATATTGCGTAACATTCACCCCTTACGTAACGTTATTGTTCTTGCAAATTCTGGCCTATACTCATGTAGCAAATGAAATCATAATACAGGTAGGTATCTATTAATTGACTTTTACATTGAATACAAAGCTGTGTTAACTATTTTTAGAGTACTGCTATAGCTACAGCTGCTTACGACAGTGAATGGTATCATTTCAACGATGAATACAAGAAACGATTATTATTTTTGATAATCAGAGCTCAAAAGCCATTGTCAATGAACATCGGATCTTTTGGTCCTATGACCAAAGAAACAGCGTTATTTGTAAGTATTCAACAATTTACGAAGTAAAATATTTTCTTGGACTGACGATGTATTTTTTTTTCAACAACACAACAACACTTTTTATCTATAACATCCTATATAACATATAATTTATAATATTATAAATTATAAATGTATGAACTTTAAGTTAATATGCCCTATACATAAATAGTTATTTTTCAATTTCAGATGATAAGAGCTGTGTATTCATACATTGCTTTTTTCAATAATTCAGATTGAGGACTTGGATCTGCAAAGAAGATGAGTGAAATTATATATCTACACTACACTTTACACTTCGATAATAAAGAAGTTGCTACTACTATTAGTATGTAATTAGTTCTTGAATGTTTCTAAATTCTGATTTTATAGGAACCTAAAATAGCAAGAAATAGTGTTTGATCTTAGCAAACTAGTTAAGAAATTGCACAATATCTATATATTATAGAATAAATGTGTCAACTTAAAAATGTGTTTTCTGTATAATGCATAGGAAGTTTAAGAAAAGCCTAACTTTGCATTTGTAATTATTCACGTATTGAACGTTGATATGGAGGCTAGCGGTAAGGAGAATTATCTCCTATATTTGGAAAGAGGTCATTAAAGAAGGAACTACTAAGGTGGCGTTGCTGTAGCAAAAATTACACATTTGAAAGAAGCGCCAAAAAGATACAGAACAGGAAATAATTAAAAAGAGATAAATATTTGCGATGTGAAGGCGCGGGTTCCAAAAAATACTAATTTTATATTCATGTCGTATACCGGGTGCGTCTCAAAGGCTCACCCCCATAACTTCTTTATTTTCTTTATTTTTTCAGATAAAAAAACGAGATTTGGTATGTTAGTATATGACATAAATTGGGATTGATTGAGTATTCAATTGTTTTTGGTCACTTTCTGTTTCACCGGAAATAACTACAAGTTTTGATTTTTAAATGGCACCCTCGGTATTTTTTCCACTTTACCTCGGATTTTCCACTCGATACCTCGGTACCTCGGTACCACTTTATTCGATAGAAAATAGATATTCTGAATAGAATGAAATATCATATGTCAACTTTTGACATTCTCGCTTAATAAAAAATAGTATTTTAAATCTCAATCTAGAGTGCTATCGCTATGTTAAAAACACTAATTCTTAATCAAGGAGCCTTGGAAAAATAGATTTGATCGTCTAATGTTTATAGTGTCTTGTCCCGGCCGGTTAAAAGATGCCCAAATCGTATTTTAAATGATATCTCAATTTTTTCAAATGGAACGAGGGTGGTTCATTAGCATATTTGGAAAAAGCATTTTTTACGAATAATTTGATACCACACACTTGGTATTTTGAGTCAAATTTTCGTTACGAACCGCAAGTTATAATTTCAAATAAACTATATGCGAAAATGTCAAATGTTGACATATGATATGTCATTCTATTCAGAGTGTTATTTTCTATCGAATAAAGTAAAAAAATACCTAGGGTGTAATTTAGAAATCAAAAGTTGTAGTCATTTCCGGTGAAACAGGAAGTGACGGAAAACAATTGAATACGTCAATCAATCCTAATTCATGGCATATACTAACATACCAAATCTCGTTTTTTTAAATGAAAAAATAAAAAAAGTTATAGGGGTGAGCCACTCTTGAGACGCACCCGGTATAAAGTTCAAGGTTCATACCAATTAAACTTTTAGTCAATTAAGCTTGACCGGCACAGCGTTGTCCAATTGCATATTTTCTTTTAATCAAAACATTTTAGGAAACAAAAATAAATAAATTATAAATAATATTATAAACAATTATTATTTACATCAACAAAACCCACCTCCTTAACAGAACTTAAGGGACATAAAGGGTCATTATTACCGCTTTCCCGTTCAAGATATTCTAATAAAGTTGTGATGAGTTTTTTGCATTGGCTATCAAGCTATCCTGTGCCCACTTCGCACTAAAAAAACTTCTAAAAAGAATAACGTTCGACTGCAAGGTCTGCTAGTAATTTTTTTTAAGCTTAACATAATTCATTTAAACCAAAAACTGAAAATACAAAACTAAAGTCTCAAAACGAATGACAATGTCAATAAATAAATAAAGAAATGTGACAACTTGACATTTTTTACAGTAGAGCTACCACCTAAAACTCCAGCGGGAAATTTAAATTTTAGTTAGTCAGCTAGGCGCCGAATGTGTCCATGGCTGGCAACAATGAATTTAAAAATCGCGCCCACCTAAAAGTTTAATTGGTAGCACTGTAGCCCTTATATATTTTAAAACTGCAGCTTAGACAATTTGTATATATTTCTTTATTAGTTATTGTTAAGGCAGAGGCCATTTTAAAACTTGTAAATTTTAATAAATACATTTTTTAAAAACTTATTTGACTGTTCTAGTTAAGTTAAATTTAAAATTTAAGTTTTAGTATAAAAAGAAAATTAATAAATCAAGACGAAAAATTCTAAAATATCACAATCATGAATTGAAATATTAAAAATTGTTAAGACGTCAGTAATACATTTATTAAAGTTTAAAACATTAAAAAATACTCTTGGAACATAAAATATGAAAAATATTAGAGCATTTACTTAAAAGTCAACTTATTATTATATTATAAAAAGTTAGGTAACTATATAATTAAGGGATTATTCCTATTACAACAAAGCCTTTCTTAGAAGAAAGTAGTCGATAACGAACTAAAACTGATAATTATATAACTGAAAAGCCAATTTGTTACAAATGTTACAATTATAAAAACTTTTTTCTTTTTGAACTTCCAAAATTACATAAAATATGCATTTTAACTGCATTTATAACTTGACATTATTCAAATGCCAATTTAATAAAACTACTTTTTGTTAGAAAACTTTCTTCTAGTTTTAATAAGTAATAAGTTTATTTTTAATAAGTATTTAAGCTATATATAAGACATGAAAACAATTTCTTTCTATTCAGTGTTACACCCTTGAGAAAATCAGAATATCACAAGCATGAGAGAAAATACACATTTGATATCTCTTCTAAGAAAAATTATGATTTTTCTTGGAACATGGCCTTATCATGTAACAAATAATTATATTTTGAAAAAGATATACACATTTTACTCTTACGTACCACAGGTTATTTGGATGTCATTGTTTATATTGGTAGTGGTCCAGTTTATAAAAAATCTTTTTGAGAATTTTGATCCTGCAGAATTGCTTGTTAATCTTGGCGTAAGTGACACACTTTTTGTTATTGTTCTATTTCATATTACCTTCATTATGTATAGTAAATTTTTTTATATTTATATTAACTATTCGACTAAGGTATAGGACATAAAAAACCACATTTAAAATGCAATGATTCATACGTTGAAATATATATAATATACCGATTAAACTTTTAGTTGCCAACCGCATGGACATATTCGGCGCAGGGCTGACTAACTCGAATTTAAATTTCCCGCTGGGGATTCAAGGGGTAGCTCTGCTGTAAAAAATGTCAAGTTGCCGCATTTATTTATTTATTTCCTGACATTGTCATTCGTATTGACATTTTAGTTTTGTATTACGAGTTTTTGGTTTAAATGAATTATGTTTTGATAGTTTCAGCTTAAAAATGTTTACTAGCAGACCTTGCAATCGAACATTGTTCTTTTTAGAACCTGTTTTAGTACGAACTGGACAAGATAGCTTAATAGCCGTAAAAACTCATCGCAACTTTATTAGAATATTTAGAACGGAAACGCGGTAATAATGGAAAATATGCAAAAGTGGGCAACGCTGCACAGTGCTTCGAACATATGGCTCTAGAGGACAAAAATGCAAAACTTCTCTTTTATTGTAGGCAATTTATTCAAACTAGGTTTATTTGACACAAATGATGAGTACTCTCATTGTACTAAATGATGATGTTCTTAGTCCCACGTTTATGAAAAAAAAATTATAAATAATAATAATGTTGGAGCTGTGTTCCATCTAAGGAAATAATAATTTATAGTATGAAAACGGTGTAAGTATTAAATAAATCCCTGTGTCAAAAAAGAATTGAAATATCATTAGAACATGATTCCTACAATATAAGCCTAATATAAGATAAAAATGTTTTTCTTTAATGAAACAGAAACATTAATGTTATATTTAATTAAAAAAAAACTTAAGATACTATAAATTTACTTTAGGACAACAAAATGCATAGATCGTAACTACTCTGATTCAGAAGAATCACTGGTGACAGAATCTTCCAAATTTATAGTATCCAAATCGCAGGTAGATGAAGTATCCTCACATGTAAGATATTTCTGTACATCATTTTCTAATATGTTACCTTTTCGCGTTGTTACTGTTCTTTTTGTTGGTATGAGGGGTTCAGATGTTAATAGTTACCTCTTTAATAGACCATATCCATATATTATTTTTTCCTTTTCTTGGGTATGAGGTTTTATAATAAATTGAAAGATGGAAACTTTTTTATGCGACGTTTCGCTCCAACATAGTGGGCTTTTTAAGGCACAAGTGGTGTCTCATTTGACTGGAAGGTTCATCAATATCTAATAAAAAACACATTTTTTGAAATACAAATAATTTTGAGTTCTTGTCCTTATGATCAAGCCAAGTATTAACCAAATCGGCATTGCTTATCAATTTTACTCCATCTGAAAAGTATTATAAAATAAAGTTCGTCGCAAGCCGACGCAGGTGAACTATACAAAAATTAAAAGTGTATGAATAACGCAACAAAAATATTCAATAAATACGATATGTTTTGATATGTTTTTTTTAAATGCCTTTTTGAAGTTTGAAAACGTAAAATTTTTATACCCATTTAAGAATCATCTTAAAAAATAAATAAAAACTAAACAATCACGAACTTAGAACTAGTTTAGAAATAAATTTAAAGTACATACCTTGTTTAACAATATCTATAGTGGCTTTCAATTAAGTACGTACCGTTTAACTCCATAATATACAGAACTACTATGAATGTTATTCTTTTCACTGATAAGATAATGATCGCAAAATTTATTTTTAGTGAAAATATTTGCTAACAAAAAACGCTGTTTATGAAAAATAATATACAGGATGGTTGAACATTGCTATAAGTATAAAATTACATATTTAGATATTAGTAAATTTTAACTTTTTTTTCGATTTTTGTCCATGGGACGAAGCACTGTGCGCTGTGCCGATCAAGCTTAAACACGGGACTAAAAGTTTATTTGATATGAACTATATTCAAGTTTATACCGGGTGTCCCACTAAGAATAGTTCTCGGCTGTATCTGGGCTGTATCTCGGAAAGTATTAGCCGTATGGCTTACGGAAAAAAAAATATTTATAACTAGAGGGGCTATGAGAAA